TTCTCAGCACAGCCACCCAAACCTCCATAGAGGTTGTTCACTGGGCTGAAGCCAACTGCAGGAAGGGAAGTTCCTTCTGTAAACATCTTAGAACACAAGCTAACATCTTAAACTGATTTTTAAAGACAATACAATGAATTGCACTTGTCACAGAATTTCACATTTTACTCTAAGCCCAAATGTGGCCCACCAAAGGATTTTGAGTGGCCCACAACGGTTTGGAACAACTTCAAGACTCCTCCACTGCTTGGCCTTCTCCTGAGGAGAGGACCATGTGGAGGAGAAGGAGGAAGGGCAAAAATTTGCCCTGTATGTCTCCTACACTGCTTGGCTTTCTCCTGAAGAGAAGGCCAGGGGGAGAAGGAGGAGGACAAGCGAACTTCCCCTACAAGGCTCCTCTGCTGGAGAAAGGAGAAAGCTGGGTGGAACAGGAAGATAGGCAAACACTCACCCTGCAAGACTCCTCCTCCACCCGGCTTTCTCCTGAGAAGGCTGGGCAATGGAGGAGGAGGAAGGTCAAACATTCAGCCCTCACTTTGTCACTTGGCTTTCTCCTGAGAGGTCTGGGCAGAAGAAGAGAAGGAGAGGCAACTTTCTCCTGAGTAGAGTGGGGCAGAGGAGGAGGATGGAATTAATATTATTTATTATTAAATTATTATTATTATTATTATTATTATTATTATTATTATTATTATTGTTATTTAATTAAAACCTATCTACAACCTGAAGAAGTTTAGCCTATTTAATTTTGGCTCCTACCTACCGCCAAGTTCTGCAGGTCTGCTCTAAGCTATCCCTTCATTACTAGCCTAGGGGAGGATAATTCATAGTAAACTAACAGCTCAGAGCAATCTGCATAGTACAGGGACCTCTTGTGATCAACCAGAGCCAACCAGATTTCCTTACAAAAATGTTGACAGGTCTGCAGACAGTACCTATACAGAGCCACTACAACTTTTCAGTTTATGGTACACAGGCAACTGTCATGTTTGTTCAAATATTTCTATCTCAGCTTGGTGACTAATCATGTGTATACACACAAGTTTCTCCCATTATTTCCTTGAGCACCAACCACCACAAACTAGCATCCACTGGGAAAAGTCTGATTTATGACAGTAGCAATTGTCAGAATGTCTAGACTTGAAGGGCTGACATTTGCAAGACTCTAGAACAAGGTCAAATCAAGAGAAATCACAGAAGTTAACTGTTCCCAGGTACAGTTTTTTAATGAACTACTGTTATAGTCACATGCATACGATTTCCCAGGTATATCAGTAGATTTATAGTGTGAATACACCTTATGCACATATACCTAGAACTGAATCCCCTGGAACCTAATGGGGCTAACTTCTAGTAAGTAAGCACTACATCTTCAATGTATATGCCCATTATATGGTTGCAGAAACCATGAAACAATTGCCCTATATTTGATTTTGGTATCTGGGTAATGAATAGTCACTAACAAATTCATCCAAAATAAATAGTATATTAAGGTTAAGTCTAGCTAAATATTGGTACTGCTGAAAGAGATTTACAAATGTACACTTTGCTACATATAAGCAGAACTATACAGGGCAAATGCATGATTAAAACACTGAAATTAGGCAATACTGGTCCAAAACATAGTGCAGAAATAATCCAGTTTTAGACCGCTTAAACTGCCCTGGCTCAATCCTAGGGAATTCTGGGAACTGTAGTTTTGTGAGACATTTAGTCTTGTCTGTCAGAATGCTCTGGTGCCACAATACACTACAATTCCCAAGATTCTCTAGCACTGAGCTAGAGCAGTTAAAGCAGTCTCAAACTGGATTATTTCTGGTGTGTGTTTTGGACCACTGTCTTACGGTGTCGATCCTATGTATGTTTACTCAGAAGTACAGTGAAGCACACTGCCACAGGGCTGCTGCTCAGGATTCTGCTGGACAAAGGAAGGGACTGGATTATTTGACTAAGAACTGAAAACAGATCCAATACTGAACAAGCTTCCCACCTATACAGCATGCACACAGTTACCCACACTGTGAGTCATTTAAGCTATTTTAGTTCTGATTAAATTTTTTCTCCTAGCACATAATTTTCATTGTAATAACATGTGAAGTACATAACTTTTTTACAAACACCCACACATTGTTCCGGCAGCTTAATTTATTCTTGAAAATTACCTGTATGATGAGAGTTGACAGTATGTTACATAAAAATGAGGCAAACTATGTCTCATCACTATCTATATACATCACCAGCCACTAGCTCTCAAACTTCTTACATTTTCAGTTACAGTTAACTGCAAAGGCAAATGAAAGTGGGATCAATCAGAGGGCCTGTACAGACTGCCAGAAATAATCCAGCTTGAGACCATTTTAATTATCCTGGCTCAATGCTAGGGAATCATAGGAATTGTAGTTTTTTCTGAGACATTTGAGCCTTCTCTGTTAGAGAGCTCTGGTGCCACATAAACTACAGCTCCCATGATTCCCTAGTATTGAGCCAGGACAGCTAAAGTGGTCTCAAACTGGATTATTTCTGGCA